CACACACACCCACACCCGCACATTGTTTGTTATATGGCTTCATATTTTGCATGATTCATCAACCACCTTACGATCCTGACTTGACAAATATGAGATAATGACGGTATTTTGATATGTGTCATTCACACAACAAAAATTGATAACAAACAACCAAACCATATATATATAACTATGTAGTAGTCAATATAGCAATTATTAAACATTCTTTTTGCAATCTTTTTATTCAATTTATATATATAACATGGCTGAAATTGTTGTTGAAATTGTTGGTCGAGTCTTAATTGAATTAGTTGGTGCTGTAATTGTAGGAGCAGCATCACAACCAAAGACATCACAACACAGTTTGAATAAAACAAAGTCATCCTCTGAAAAAAACAATCGATCATTAGATTTAGTGTCGACATCATCTGCTCATCATAACCGTGCGGTACTGATTGCATCAAGTAGTATTACTTTTGGTAATGATTGTGAACGTCTTGTTAATATAGCTTTTCAAACAAGTCAAACTTTTCCTACAATGATGGCTACATATGCTGATGTTATTCAATATTTACGTAAAGAACTTGCTAAACAGTATCCTAATGAATATTTTCATATAATTATTGGTAAAAATCAAAAATTTGGTTTTTCTATTAATGAAGATCAATATTTTGCTGAAATCGAACAAGATCGATATCGTGTGTTAATTTTTTCAACAAAACAAAATCCTCATACAAAATCGGACACTCATGATGCTAATAGTCAAATTTTATTTGTATGGAATTGAAATTTTTCTTGTTTATTTACAAAAAAAGAAAACATAATAAAACAGAACTGTACATAACAAAGTTTATTTAATAGATAATATTTGGATTTGTTTGTCCACTAGCATTATCAAGAACAGTTGATGTTCCACTACCTTGTTGACTCGGTGTATCTCCGCCAAATTTCTCTGCTTGTAAATCAGAGTCTTTCGAAGGTGAATTTGTTTCATTAAGCAATTGTTTATCTTTGCTTGTCAATCTATTGTTTGTTGCTTCTTTATAATGTTGATTAACAGCGGCGTCCATCTTTCTAAAATTAACTGTATACTTCTACAAATCTAAATATATATGTATATCATATAGTGCAAAAGTTCGCATTGATATTGTGTTCAGTATAGCGTAACAATATGTTGATCTGACTTTCTGTAAAAATTGATATATTTTTTAACGAACTTTGCTAACAAAAAAATGTTCATCACCTTCATTAAACGTTGTAGAGGGAAAATCAAGTTGTAAACAAAATTGTTTCCTAACGAACATATGATTTTGTGACTCGAATATTTTAAAACGACTAGAAAGTTTAGATCGTGTTTGTTATACTGACACACAACGTGCCTAGAAGTTTCGAAAGCCCAGTACAAGACTTGAAACAAAGAAATTAACGCAGAACTTTTACACCATTCATTATGTATATATATGTACTTACAATGTATAGGTACGTATAAAATTGTGTAAAATAAAAGAAAGAGAAGTATTAAATGTAATGAAACAATACTTTTTCTTTGATTTATATAGGCACTTTTTTTTTGTACGCTGCTCGTGTACACGTGATGATTGTTCTGTGTTTGCTCATAGAATGCAGAAATACAAAATAAACTCTTTTACCCGAAGTTTTTTTTTAATAGTTTCTTTCGAATTCTTCGAGAAATATAAGACATGGGTATGAAGTACACATTGGTCTATCGCCTTCTGTTGTTACTTCATTCAAGGTAAAAATAAACTCATTTGAAGAAATTTAAAAAAAAAAACCTTCACAATAGATCAATCGAACAAATGTATAATGTCATAAAATGTCTATTTTAAATATTTTATACTTTTACTGTTAACTCAATAACCTAAATATAAATTAAATTTTCTATGGAACTCGAGTCATTTTTAACTGAGATATCTGACAAAATATATTGAGCCGTAGAAAGAAAAAATAATACAAATTGAAAAAACATAATAATTGTTTTATATTTGGTTATTCATTATCTCATTAATCAATTGTTGTTGTTGTTGATGATGAATCGAATTCATGTATTGTTGATTGAGCTGTTGGAGCTGGTGCTGATGTTTGTTGTTGGGAAAATTCTTTATCTTTAAGTTGTTGTTGACCTTCACGTAAGCCAGTTATTTTATTTAAAATATCTTTCGCTGCATTTTTTACTTCCGGAAATTCAAGACATTTTCTAGCATATGAACATGCTTGATCATATTGACGTTTTTTTACATGATAATTAGCCAAAAATTCAGCGGCATGAGAAAATTCTGTAAAATTTTTTACCTTAAAATAAAAATAAATTTTTAATTAAACAATTTTTGTTTTCTTCATAAATACTTGTCGTAATTCTTGTGTACGAATAAATTCCATATAAGCACGAGCTGCTGTTTCTTCATCTTTTAAATGATCACAGACACTAAAAGATAGTTATAAGTAAGTAAAAAGAAAAAAAGCAAAATAAAAACATATACTGTGCATATTTTGCAAGTGCATTTCCTTCAATATCACCAACACAATATGAACGCCAATAACATTTTTTTGCTTCATGAAATTTTTGTGTTCGTTCATAGACTTCACCAAGTGCATTTGAATAACGTGAATCATTTGGTCTATATATATAGAGAGAGAGAGAGAGAGGGAAAAAAATTAAACAGATATAAAATAAATTAGTAGATTTCAATTTACTTAAGAGCAAAAGCTTCTTTAAAATAATACAAAGCATAATTGTACATTTTTATTATTTCGTATGTTTCACCAAGACCATACCAAGCACGATGATCTCTACGATTAAGATCTAAATAGAGAAAAAAGAATGACTTTTTTTGTTTAGCTTTATTGACGAATGTAAACATTTTATTCTTTAATCAGAATTGTATTGCCCATATATTTTTGAGTTAAATTTTTTTAGAAAGATAGCACTCGTTAGTTCATTTCGTTGTCAACACATTTCTCATATATACTTTTGTCTCTTGATTATTCAACTTACCTAACGCTTCTCGATAAGCATTTATAGCTGCTGCATGATTTTTTCCTTCGACAAATTCATGACCTAATAATATCCATGCAGCTGGATAATCAGGATTCATACGTAATGCACGAGTAAAATATTGAATAGCACGAGCATGATCATTGCGTATACTATAAAAATTACCTATGAACAACAATCATAAAGAAAAAAAAATACAAATAATAGAATAAATAATAAAAATAATCTTACCAACAACAATACATGTTTCAAAACGATATTTTTCAATTTCAATACATTTTTGTGCTAATCCCGCTAATGCATGATAATCTTCCTTGAAATAATTTTATTAATTAGAATAGATATTAATATTGATTTAACTTACAAGAACAAAAAGAATATTTGAAAATATATCCATTGAATCAAGATTATATGGATCAATAGTTCGTGCATCTTCACAACATGTTCGTGCTAATTGTAATTCTAAACAACAAAAAAAGAATTGTATTCACAAAAATTCAATCTTAATTAACTAACCAGCTCCTGTTTCATAAGCTTTAGCTTGTAATAAAAGAATATATGTTGAATTTTGAAAACCAATTTGTGTTAATTCTTTACAAATATATACACATAATTCAGGTTTATGTAATTCAACATAACATCGAGCATAAAATACATTGCGTATCCAATGTTTAGGTAAATCAAGACTATGAAGCTAAAATATGAGAATAAGAAAAAAAAAACCTGCATTTTGTTTTTTTAAATAAACCTTTTGTTCACTATCAATAAGCATGACAAGATCTTCCCATGCTGACCAAAGATGAGGTACTGCTTTAACTGTACGAACAAAATAAGGTAATGCTTCATTAAGTAAACCTAATCTCTTGAGTACAAGAGCATAACTAAACAAAAACAATAACTTTAAAAAAATAATCCTATCACAAACTTACACATAACAACTATAACCATTTAATGGTTGGTTTTTTTCACTTGTTGTCAATTCTGTACGAAGACGGATAAGCCATGTATTGTCAAGTGATGCTTTGGCTATCCAAAAAAGCAAAAAAATATAAACATAATTGCATCAATTAATTCGAAAAAAGATATTTACTTGTTGCTTGTCGTTGATTACTAGCTGTATCAGCTAGAAATAAAATGAAAAACTTATTATCAATTGAATAGAAAGTTAAATAAACTTACGAAATACATCAACAAAATCATCACAACGATGTTTAAGACCATCCTAAGAAACAAAAAACGAAAAAAGAAAAGTCATTTAATAAAAATAATCATTTTTACGCACTAGATATAATGCATAAAGTCTCAGAAAAAAACCATATCCACTTGTACAATTTCTTAAATGATGTGCACATCGAGTGTATTCACGAAGATCAAAATAACTTTTTGCCATTAAATATAAACTTGATGATGTACCTAATTCCTAAAAAAAACAAAATATCCAGATTATTCTATTTTTTCAAGAGAAGAACTAGCCTAAGATATATCAACATATATATATGTCAAGAAAAGACGAAATATTAAAATTATATTGTTATAAATCTAACTTACTCGTGCTGTTATATTCAAATTAATTCCCTCATCAAGTTCATCATTAGTACTTTCAGTCGATGTTGATCCCACAGTAATACATTGAAGCATTTCACAACACCTAATGAAAACAATAAAAGAAAAAAATATCCATGAAAACTAATTCAAGAACAAGTTCCTTGTTAAATTTACCATTTTCTACTATGTACAAGTCCAACAAGATCCAATTCAGGTATTGCTTTTTGTAAATCAGTTACTACTGTTTTTGGATCAAATTGAAGATAATTAACATCGCGTTGTTCATCAAATGACATTGATAATGGATTCATTATTAAATATTCTTTTTTTTTTATCTCCAAAAACAAAATATCTTTTCGTTTTTACTTGAATAAAAAATAGACTATGAAATAATAATAAACGATCTTTTCATAAAAGTTTTATTGAGTGTATATAAAATATCACATGAACAAGAAAAAAGAAACTATGAAATTTATGAAATATAATATACATGCATACATAACTACTGTTGTCCTATTCGACTAGCAAAAATTCACGTAAAAATAAACTATTATATATTAAATGGATTAGTTGAATTTAATGCTCTTGTTCTACTTGACATCGGTGATAATAATATTGGATTTAATAAATTTTTAAATGTATCACGTCGTTCACGTTCAGTTATTGGTTGTTGTGGTGATTTTTTAGTATTATTATTATTATTATTATTATTCATATCGTTATTTGTTAATAAACGTGCTTTATATGTATTTAATAATTCAACATTTATTTGTGGAATTGTTTCATGTAAAACACTGTCAAGTTGTTGACCATATTGATTATGCCATAGTTCATATATATGACCAATTAATGATATGAGATTTGTATTAACACTTTCATTTTCATTATGTGTATCAAGTGATTTAAGTAAACATTGAAATAAAAATTTGATATCAATTAATGAAGATATATTCACTTGTTTATCAATAACATCTGTATAAAATTTTGTTATTGGAAGAATGATAGGTAAGAAACGATTAATACAATATGCATCAGGAAAAGTTAAACATTCAAATAAAATTCGAATTATATTGCTAAATAGATGCAGAGCCAATGAAGAATCTAAATAATATATTTTATAGCTAATGTTAGGAAAAAAGTGAACATTGAACGTTTTAGAGCCTCGCAATACTATTTATCTAATATTTCTGCTTAACATTTGACAGGGTGTGGGTGTTAGTTCTTACTAAGACAACACCCATACCCACACTCTTTTCTTAAAGAACTCACTTACTTTGTCGAGCCATTTTCATCATATACATAAAAAGATCACTATAATCAAGTTTTTCATGTGAATTATTTAATAATTTATTACTAATATTATTATAGGTAGTTTGTTCATCCCATTCATCAATTTGATCTAAATCACCATTTGTTTCTTCACACATACTTTCACTATTATTACGTGCAAGATTTATTTTATTCTTTTTTTTATTCATATTTATTGAAGAAGAATTTGTTTGTCCTGATATT